AGGTCTCGACAATGATATAGAAGATTTGTATGATCATGTTGAAATTTTTAATTTTGGGCTAGTCATAAGTTCTTTCGTAAGAAATTGCTGGAAGGGCTTCATAGTTCACACGCTATGTTTAAAACCAAAAGAAGATTCAAAATTTAAAAAAAAAAAAAAAAGAGCCGTCGATGGATATGGGACTGGTGGAAAAGATAAGCTGTGACGCCTCGAGGTTGATTCCGTCTCCATTGAATACAAGAAGGGCCCATGCTTTACTTTTATTTGCTTGTGGCAATTATAATGCCGTGTCAAAATCAAACACTTTGCCAGTCAAACAGGAAGATTTCCATTTTTTTTTTTTTTTATGATTGTTTATCTACATGACAATTATTTGCATATCATCAGTGGTTGATTAGGCTAAAGCACATGTCGATGTGCAGCTTAAAATACGGGAGTCCAACCGTGACAGCTGGCAGATTCGTGGTAGAGAACGTGGCCTGATATAGTTTATATCAATTAGTCAAAAAACCAACGTAATCTGTTGACTAATAGGTATCGCACGCACTACTACATTTATATTTCAAAGCGACTTAGGATGAGATTGGACTTTCTATGAGAGATTATTATTATTATTATTTTTTGTGTCCAATGATCTATGGATATTCAAACAGATGACCGATGCGATGAAAGCAGATCATCGATGCCCGTGAATTTTATTTATTTATTTTTACCCCTAAATCTTATTTTAATACTAATTGAGCCAATTTTTTTCATTTTAATTTTTTTTATTTTTTCCATAACATTTTAATTTTTTCATTTAAAAATTATAAAAGTACTTTCATTAATTTAATAAAATAAAAAAACTATTATATAATATATTAATATATAAATTAAATAAATATTATTATTTATTATTAATAATTAATCATACCTCCATTAATATTTTTACTTTCACCGAATCAATCTTACTTTTCATTCAAATGAATTCTTATTCAAAAAGAAAAAAAGAATGATAACATATTTGATTAACCCCGGCATACTTCACAAATGACAAGGACGGTCTAAGGGTATAAATGAGATCAAACTGACAATTACAAATGACAATCATAAATGACAATGGTATTGAATTTGACAAAGAAATGCTTACAAATGTGACCAGCTGCTTGCTATCTTGGATACAGCTCGGTAATTGAAACCTCGCTTTTCGATTGACAGGAATTTGTTGCCCTTGAATTTAAGTCCTGCGACCATTGAACCTCTGATTGAGTGTTGTGCATAAAAAATGCTGGTTATGAGGGTAGTGGGAGAGTGACAGAGTTGCTTGTTAGCATCAGAACAACTGAAGCCATGTCTGGTCTCTCGGCTACGTTTTCTTGAACACAAAGCAGCCCAATGTGGATGCATCTCATCAGCTCAGTTCTTGAACCATCCTTCAAAGTGGGATCTACAAGATCCAGTGCTGTCCCATCCTTCCAATTTCTCCAAGCCTGAAGGGGTTTAGTTCATGCAAATTATTAAACAGTAAATTCTTTTAATGCTTTGAATAAATTTCATGAGTGGCAGTCTCGAACTCGGGCACAAAGGATATTACTACTTACATAGCTTAGTAGATCTACATTATTCCCGTTACGGAAAGCACTAATTTTCTGACCACTTAATATCTCCAAAAGTAGTACAGCAAAACTGAAAACGTCAGACTTAACAGAAAATTGACCATGCATTGCATATTCGGGCGCCATGTATCCGCTATAAATCAATAAAAGGAAACTTAGTTTTCAACCTTTGAATTGTTTGATTTATCTTATTCAAGTGAGAATGATAATGTATCAGCCAAGATTATTCTGTTATTTATATGATGCAAATTGAAGTGTAATTATTGACTCTAAATATTTCTAGTACTTACTATGTTCCCACGATTCTACTAGTAGCACCTTCAGTTTGATCAACAGCACATGATCTTGCCATGCCAAAATCTGAAATTTAAGTGAATTCAAGATTAAATGCAGCCATACGAAATATGAAGCGGTCGAGGCTTGCATTAGGTACAAACTCATAGACAAGAAATCTTTCAGTTCTTTCCAGGCTGAAACCAAGAAGTCGGACTAAATTTCGGTGTTGAAGTTTGGCCACCAAGAGGACTTCATTCTTGAATTCTAAATCTCCTTGTCCAGATTCCCTGGATAACCTTTTTACAGCTATATCTTCTCCAGAGGAAAGCCTACCCTGAAAAACATTGGAATGGAATAAAGTATATATACGTCAAACACTTACATTACATCAAGAATTAGAAAACAGAGATATTTATTTCTCCTTCAACTTGTAAACGGCACCAAAGCCACCTTGCCCAAGCTTATATTCATCAGAAAAGTTATTTGTTGCAGTTCTAATGGTGCCAAAATCAAATTGCAAAGACTCTGCACTGATAATTTCTTCATCCATACCTGCGAGGAGCAAGTAATTATCATTACTAAAGGTTGAACTTGATATATATGGCTAAATTAGCAAGTTTGACACCCAAAAGCTTTTCTAAATAAATAAATAATCTTTTCCCATAAAATTGTTGGAAAGACGTTTAATCTTACTTTCAACAGTTTCCTTCCTCTTTTTAGCTCTCAAAAAAAGGTAGACACAGATGATAAGTATCATAACACTGGCAGATGGAACAACGACAGCGATGACAATTCGAGATGTGTTGTTCTTATTTCCTGCAAAAAACCAAACATTTGATTTCATAACAAAGCTTGCTGATTAATCAAGTCCTGAATTAAGAAAGCAAAAAAAGAATAACAATTCAGAACATTGAAAAGAGACAGAAAAGGAGACACAGATATGGAGCACTTATAGGACGGTTTGACTCAACAGATTTGAAGCAGAGAATAGGTGTTTTATATGTTGAGTTTGTGGTTTCATTGGAAGGCGGAGGAGGAGATGGCGAGGGTGGTGTTGTACCGGGTGAAGCATTGTAGAAACGTTCCATCTCAAACTGTAGACTACAGCTAGTCGTAATTACCCTGCCTCCTCGTCTTCCGGTACAACATTGTGGAATCTGTTGAAAAGATCTCTCCAAGGCAGGGACAAATCAGGAGTGCACTGCACAAGTGCATATATTGGTTTGAAATTTGAATCGTCAACATTTCCTCTTGCATACTTGCGTAGAGAACCTCCTGATGCGGCTCTTTCTATCAGTTGAAACAGCAAATTACTCAGCGATGCATTAAAACTGACCAGATTCGTTAAACTCATAGGGTTCGTCAAATAGAAAAAAAAAGCTAGTTTCCATGACACCCAAGATGGAGCGATTTGAGTAGCCCAACACACAATAGTCATACCAAATAGCTGCTTCCATCCTGTTGGGACACCGATTTGTTAGCTCAGTGGTAGCATTATTAATGCAACTAAGGCAAACGTCAGGGTTAATATCTCCTCTACAAAGGGCAACCGCGTTAACTCTGTCGGTGTTTTGGCCGACGGACATGTTGTAGAAGCCGTAATCATTTGCAGCTATAGAGGAGAAAGAAGACGGTAGGTTGTTGAGGTTTGCTTCGTAGGTATTGTTGGCGGTATAAGTTACCTCATCGTCTGAACAACTTGGAAATAACAGAGAGTTCTGGGCGCTGCTGACACTGAGAACAAGGTTAAGAGCTAAAAGGAAAAGAAGTCTTGAAGAACCCATTCCCATCATTTTAATCTAATCCTTGAAAATCGATCCAACATCAGTCTGGAAGTCCTACAAAAATACTTTTGATTCATAAGGTTTTATAATTATCTATGTTGAATAAATCAATTTCGGCTTTGCACTGGGTCAAATCAAAAAGGGTGGCAAAAAGATTTTGTGTCAACTTTAACGAAAATTTTTTGAAATTTTTTAAAATTTAATATTAAAGTCTTATCAAATTTGATTTAATTTTATATTAAAATTATTTAATAATAAATTAATATATTAATTTATTAATTGATTCATTAATTGGTTAATTTATAATATTTTATTTATAAATTTAAAATTTTGCTTAAACTTCTAAAGTTTGACTACTATATTTTAAAGTTGTGTTGGAAAAGTTTATTTTTCTATGGTTATTTCCTTTTATGATCATGACTTGAGTTCAAAGAAATTGGGTGGTTCGGCTGTGATTATGACAAGAGTTTAAGACTAATCAAATCCATCGAATTGAAACACTCTGTCATCACATGGAAATTAAACTCTTCAATAATACGCCTGAACATGGAGTTGTTTGAAGTAGTTGAGACAAAGCCATCGCATGTTGCAATAATAATCCTTGTTTTTTCTTTATTAAAAATGAAATTTATGTAAGCTATCTTAGACCTTTTATAATAGTAATAATGATTTTTTTAATTATTAATAAATAATACATAAAAAAAATCCTAATCTCATTTGAAACGGACCACAAAATATTAGTCTATTATTATTATTTTCTCAAAAATAAATATACAAATAAAACGTATAGAATGCAAGTTAATTAAACTTGCAATTAAGTGACCATATACTATAAGTAATTATTTTTGCTTAGTTGGCATGGAAAGGCGAATTGATTCCTCTAGAGATATTGAACGAGTCACTTATTATTAAAAAATTTATACAAGTCTCTTGTGGATTGTGCTGAAACAAGTTTAGTCCCGTTAATCACATTTATGTTTTAAAGAAATTTTGGTATTGAAACCCCTTTTCTCTCAAGTTATATCTTTTGCTAACAAAAAAATTTTTTTAGGAAGTTTATAAAGAGGTAAATTTTAAGTTAACTAATTAATATATGGATAAATAATACTATAAAAAATATTATTTGCCGCACCATTTTGTTGTAACATTTTTTATTCTTGAGTTATAATAATTTATTGATTTATGTGTAATATTTCATTTAAAAATTAATTGATTTATCCATAAATTGATTGAACTAACATTTGAATTTATTTGATAACTATATATTATGTCATGAATACAAATATTTTAAACCAAATTGATAGGATAAATAACATATTATAATATAATATAACCACTGATTCTATTTTTTTTTCAATTTAATGAAATGTTAAAACTAACAAAGAACCCGCATTCACTCTCTCCCTACAACTATGGAGTTTGAAACATTAATTGTACGGCAAGTTTATTATGTACAACTGTCCTTCAATAAAAGAAACCGAATATCATGGCAAATATTCATTAATGGTTCATGAAGACTTGTAATTGTACTTAATTGCTGAATCAAATTAAAAGGCTTAGATGCAACATTTACTTATGAAACAAAATGAAACGAGTCTTTCAATCCTTTTTTCCCATTTCTAATCAAACAAAATGATATTCATACATAATTTTTACACCCATAAGTTATGATCATAAGTTCAATAAACAGGAAAAAAAAACTATACTCAGAGTTTGATTTAAGATGTGCATGTATAGCGTATACCGGTGGGCAAGAACACCAAATTCAGGAATTGGAAGTTGTTATTGACATGAAGCAAAGCAACACCATTTTTTTAGAGCATCAATTTTACAACTAATAATCTTTGTCTAAACTCTCACCAGCTCCTACCACTGTGGAGACAAATCCAAGTTGAAGTGGTGCAGCGAGTGACATCGAACGATTCAATTCTCAAACACTATCGAGGATAGAGATCAGTAATTGTAACCTCGTTCGTGGACAATGGAAGTGCTGCGCTTTTGAATTCGTTGGACTCTGTCATCTGAGAATTATAACCCAACGAGGATGACATATCAGATTCAATGTTGCTGTGCATAAAAAATGCTGGCTGTGAGGGCAGCGGGAGGGAGATTGAGAAGCTATTAAGCATCAGAACAACTGTTGCCATGGTTGGTCTGTCAGCTACTTTTTCTTGAACGCATAGCAATCCAATGTGGATGCATCTCATCATTTCATTTCCCGAACCATCTCTCAAAGTTGGATCAATGATATTCAATGCTGTCCCTTCCCTCCAATTTTTCCATGCCTGCAGCAAAAAATTATCAATTTGTAGACAAATAATGGTGCAAATGTCTAACCAAAAAGAAACAAATATGACTTTACAGAGTATACTTACACAGCTTAGTAGGTCCTCCACCGTCTCCCCATTTCGGAAGCAATTATTTTTCTGACCACTTATAATTTCCAAAATCAACACACCAAAACTGAAAACATCTGATTTTACTGAGAATTGCCCGTGCATAGCATACTCTGGTGCCATATATCCACTGCAGATGAACATTTCTAATGTCATTCTCAATTTTGACGAACAAGGTTTTCTTAAAGATAGAATGTAACTAAATCGTTTTTTTGGAGTTTCATGCTGTTTCTATGACATATACAGTGCTGGAATCCGTTCATACAATAAACAATTCAAAGCTCAATCAATATTTTGATACTTACTAGGTGCCCACAATTCTGCTGGTATTGCCTTGTGTTTCATCCCGAACAAACAACCTTGCCATCCCAAAATCTGCAATTTTAGGAACCATATCTGCATCTAACAAAACGTTGCTTGCCTTAAGGTCCCGATGAATTATCCTAAGTCGAGAATCCTCGTGAAGGTAAAGGAGCCCACGAGCAATTCCTCCTATGATTTTGTAGCGCCTTTCCCAATCCAGTTGTGCACGCTTGACTTGATCTATATTACATGTTCATAGAAGTTTTAGATTGACAATAGTTGAATAAGAGAAATTACTAGGATTATAGGCTTCGTTTGGATATTATCAGTTGTCAGTTTACAAATATGTTCATGTTGATGTCTATGGCTTAAAAAAAAAAGCAAAAAATTTATAAAAATTATTAGGAATACATCTGAAAGTGAAATGGAAACTGTACCAAATATGAAATGATCAAGGCTTGTGTTTGGCACAAACTCATAAATGAGAAGCTTTTCATGTCCTTCCAAGCAGAAGCCAAGGAGCCTAACTAAATTGCGGTGTTGAAGCTGCGCCACTAAGAGGACCTCATTCTTAAACTCTTGGTCTCCTTGTCCAGAATTCATGGATAGTCTTTTCACAGCAACCTCTTGTCCATTTGGAAGCCGACCCTGAAAATAGAATAATGCACCATAAGTGATTTTAAATTGATTTCATAATTTAGGTTAAGCTTTCATAGTTTGAGACAATTTAATATTCTTTTCCAATTAGCTGAGCTCTTTACCTTATAAACAGCTCCAAATCCACCTTGACCAAGCTTAAATGCATCAGAAAAGTTATTAGTTGCAACCCGAACAGTGGCAAAGTCGAATTGCAAGGACTCAGCCCTAATAACCTCATCATCAGCTGCACGAAGCAAACTGTTTACACTTGCAGATAAAAAATGGCATTTTGTACGCATTTCAAGTACATTCTACTGATTATTATAAACTTATTCACTGGTTATTGACAGTAATCTTTACTTATTCATCACAATTCTTCACCGGCTAGCAGCTAGTACTGGAAAGTCTTTTTCCTATATATTTTACCGAATCAAGTCCATTATCATATTGCATTAGGGAGTCATATTTCTTACTTCCAAGTATTTCATGGGTCTTCCTGACTCTCCAAAAGATGCAGATGGAGGTAATCAGTATCAGAATTCCAACAACTGAGGCAACAACAATTATGACAATACGAGTTGTGTTATTGCCGTTTCCTGCAAAATTCATAAGGTCCAATCAGAATTACAATTCTATGTACTTACACATAGAATGGATAAACCTAGAAGACAATGGAGAAAATCCCCACAGGACCACATAACCCTCCCCCACCCCGGGCCAAAAATAAAAAAAGGAACAAATCCTTCAAATCTGGTTGTCACACATTAAACCGCTACATATTGGTGTTCCTCTATAAATAATTTTATTTTCTTTTTCAAGTGCTTTGCTCTGTTTCTCCGTTTCTTCTATTGACTTTGCGAGTCCTTACCTTACCAAAAAATTTTACTTGAACAGTTGCAATTTTCCCTTGAATTCTACTACCCGTATTTTTTCTTTATTTTTAATCATGAATGATTTCTATTATTAAGAAACTAATTTGTAACATAAGAAATAAGAACAACCGAATTATTCAGGGATTTGGAGTTTTTTTTTCTTAGAACAAAAAACTTTGATTTCCAGTTGATAGAAGTATGCAAATGATATATAGTTATCAAGAAGACAATTGATTTGATCGAACTACTCCTAGTAATCATTTTTTTATCAGCAAGACTAGATAATTTACCTCCAGGAGGAGGAGAAGAAGTTGGAGATGGTGGAGGCGACGGTAGAGGAATTGGAGTCTGATAAAATGGGCTAGACTCAAACCTCAAGAAACAGCTTGGTCTAAGAACCCTGCATCCGATCTTCTCCGAGCAGCAACCTCCAATCCCTTGCTTAGCCACAGTTAGACAAGCACCACATTCTTGCTCGGACAAATCAGGAGTGCACTGTACTAGAGCGTATGCTATTTGAAAGACGCCCACCGATGAGTTATCTGCTGCATACTTGCGAAGAGGACCCCCAGCTTCGGCTTGACTGCTCAGATTATTCAAGAGGTTAGCCAATGTCTGATGGAACTGATTAGCATTCGCTAAATCCTGTGTGTTGTATAGACAAGCGTCAGGAGAGTCTTCCATTTCTCCAAATATGTCTCGGTTGGCGTAGCGCAGCATACAAAATTCAGACCATCCAACCACCTCCTTGTAAAAGGGACATCGCTGCCTGAGTTCAGATATGGTGTCATTGAGGCAACTGTTGCAATCAGCTTGGTTTATGTCCCCCCTGCATAGTGCGATTGCATTAACTTTGGTAGCGTTTTCATCACCAGCAGACAGATTATAGAACCCATAGTTGAACTCTGTCAGAGAGGTAAGTTGAGAGAAGATGTTGTTGAGGTTGGCCTGGTAAGTGCTGTTTGCGGTATAGTTACCTGCTGTGCTTATACAACGATGCTGAAAATATTGATCGGCTGCAAGGGTGAGAGTAGCAAGGAATGGGAGAACCGAATACAACAAGAGAAGCAGTCTTGAAGATCCAATTGCCATACCGTCTCTCTGCTCTTCCAATTTTTTTTTTTTTTCTATATGAAACTTTATGAACATAGTTGCTAAAATGGTGAAAGCATTAGTAAATTACTAAACCGAATTGAGAAATTGAGACTTTTCTGAATTGACCATCCAAATACCAATATTTAATAAAGTAATTTGGATGGTATGCATCATATTTTTGCGCATGTTGATGTACCCATATATTTACTTACAAAGGGTTGATAAAGATGGCAGTGGTTGGCGACAAGTCGCCATGGACCAACTTGGCTTTCTTTGTGCTTGGTATTTCCATTGGGCACCGGTTTGACCGTTATTCATCTATGTGGCGGATTCACACTGCAGTTAACCAGTGTATGTTTAGGTTGTCAATAAAACTGACCTGAATTAACCCACAGAACTCGTAAATGTAAATATTGGATTGTCATTAAAAACAAAATAAAATAATTGGAGAGGATTGTCAATGTTTCGTCATTGTTACGTTTAAATAATTCTATTTAGACTTTTTCGTCCATAATCTTTTTATAAGTTTTCTACCACTAGTTGGTGGGTCATGTTGAATGGACTAAGTGGGCATATTGAATGGACTAACTTTATTTCTTGATCATTAATTCTCTTTGCAAATGTTGAAGAATCTAATTGATCAGCAATGGCTAGCTCTCTTAAACATCAGTCCAACAGCCTGCTATACTAATTTAAGGTCTCGGCAATGATATAGAGGATTTGGGAGATTACGTTGAGATTTTTAATTTTGGACTACTCATAAGTTCTTTCATAAGAAATTGCTAACAGGGCTTCATAGTTCACACGCTTTGTTTAAAACCCAAAAAAAAAAAAAATTATCAAGTGATTAATTTAATCAATTAAAATTATTTTTTTATAAAAAAATTTTAAATTTAAATTTTATTGATAATTATTTATTAAAATTATCTTAAATATATAATTTATAATCATTTATTTTAAATTATTAAATATAATATATTTTATTCTAACATAAAAATTAAATAATTTATTTACTCTTGAATTAAAAAAAAAAATTCAGAATTCTAAAAAAAGAAAGTCTTCGATTGAGATGGGACTGGTGGAAGAAGAGAAGCTGTGAAGCTTCGAGGTTGATTCCACCTCTGTTAAATACAAGAAAGGGTCCACGGTTTACTTTTGTTTCCTTGCGGCAATTATAATGCCGTGTCAAAATCAAATACATTGCCAGTCAAACAAGAAGATTTCAAATTTTTTTATTTTTTTTATTTTTATGATTGTTTGTCTATATGACAATTATATGTATATCATCAGTGGTTGTTTAGGCTAAGCACATGTCGATATGCAGCTTAAAATATGGGAGTCCAACTGTGACAGCTGGCAGATTCTTGGTAGAGAACGTGGCCTGATATAGTTTATATCAATTAGTCAAAAAACCAGCGTAATCTGTTGACTTATAGGTATTGCACGCACTACATTTATAATTCAAAGTGACTTAGGATGAGATTGGACTTTCTATGAGAGATTATTATTATTATTATTTTTGTGTCCAATGATCTATGCATATTCAAACAGATGATTTTATTTATTTATTTATTTTTGCCCCTAAATGTTATTTTAACACTAATTGAGCCAATTTTTTTCATTTTAATTTTTTTTTATTTTTTCCATAACATTTTAATTTTTTCATTTAAAAATTATAAAAGTACTTTCATTCATTTAATATAACAAAAAAATTATTATATAATATATTAATATATAAATTAAATAAATATTATTATTTATTAATAATAATTAATCATACCTCTATTAATATTTTTAATTTCACCGATCAATCTTATTTTTCATTCAAATGAATTCTTATTAAAAAAGAAAAAAAAATGATAAGAGTTTGATTAACCCCGGCATACTTCACAAATAAAAAGGATGGTCTAAGGGTATAAATGAGATCAAACTGACAATTACAAATGACAATCATAAATGACAATGGTACTGAATTTGACAAAAAAAAGCTTATAAATGTGACCAGCTGCTTGCTGTCTTGGATACAGCTCGGTAATTGAAACCTCGTTTTTCGTTTGACAGGAATTTGTTGTCCTTGCATTTAAGTCCTGCGACCATTGAATCTCTACTTGAGTGTTGTTGTGCATAAAAAATGCAGGGTCTGAGGGTAGTGGGAGAGTGACAGAGTAGCTTGTTAGCATCAGAACAACTGAAGCCATGTCTGGTCTCTCAGCTACGTTTTCTTGAACACAAAGCAGCCCAATGTGGATGCATCTCATCAGCTCAGCTCTTGAACCATCCTTCAAAGTGGGATCTACAAGATCCAATGCTGTCCCATCCTTCCAATTTCTCCAAGCCTGCAGGGGTTTAGTTCATGCAAATTATTAAACAGTAAATTCTTTTAATGCTTTGAATAAATTTCATGAGTTGCAGTCTCGAACTTGGGCACAAAGGATACTAGTACTTGCAAAGCTTAGAAGATCTTCTACATTATTCCCATTAAGGAAAGCACTAATTTTCTGACCACTTAATATCTCCAAAAGTAGTACACCAAAACTAAAAACGTCAGACTTAACAGAAAATTGACCATGCATTGCATATTCGGGCGCCATGTATCCGCTATAAATCAATAAAAGGAAACTTAGTTTTCAACCTTTGAATTGTTTGATTTATCTTATTCAAGTGAGAATGATAATGTATCAGCCAAGATTATTCTGTTATTTATATGATGCAAATTAAAGTGTAACTGTTGACTCTAAAAGATTTCTAGTACTTACTATGTTCCCACGATTCTACTAGTAGCACCTTGAGTTTGATCAACAGCACATAATCTTGCCATGCCAAAATCTGAAATTTTAGGATTCATCTCTGCATCTAATAATATATTGCTAGCTTTGAGATCACGGTGAATAATTCTGAGTCTAGAATCTTCATGAAGGTAGAGAAGTCCTCGAGCAATGCCTCCTATGATTTGGTATCTTGTTTCCCAGTCCAAATATGCACGCTTAACTGGATCTGGATCACCATAAATGTACACATCCGAATTAGTGAAGTAAAACATGGATGTTGGTTTTTTGCTTTATAGTATACAATACATTCTAATTCTACAATACACTGATATATCATACCAAATAAGAATTGATCCAGACTTGCATTAGGCACAAACTCATAGATGAGAAGCCTTTCATTTCCTTCCAGGCAAAAACCTTGGAGCCTAACCAAATTCCTGTGCTGAAGCTTGGCCACTAACTGAACTTCGTTTTTGAATTCTAAATCTCCTTGTTCAGAATCTTTAGACAACCTTTTCACTGCTATTAATTCCCCATTGGCAAGTGTGCCCTGAGAAGATATCACAATAAATTATACATGTTTATAGTAACTGAACTTATCATTTGATGCAATGCCCCTTTTTTTTCTCTTACAGATGCGATCATTTTCGTTTTACCTTATAAACCGCGCCAAATCCACCTTGCCCAAACTTATTTGCAATAGAAAAGTGATTTGTTGCAGCTTTAACGGTGTTGAAATCATATTGCAAGGACTCTGCACCTATTTCATCCACGGCTTCAGCTGCTTCACATTTTAAGAAAAGAACAAAAATAGAAGTAAATAAGTGTGAATTATCGATTTAATCACGAGCTGAATTCATTCAACAAGGGTCCAAAGGAAAAGAACTAGTAAACAAACAAAAAAAGAACCAGTAAACAAATTCTTTTACTTACTTTCAGTTTTCACCTTTGACTTTCTTACTATTAAAAAGATGAAGATGCAGCTGAAAATGAGAAGCACCGCAAAAGCAACAGCCGAGACGGTTATGATGATAATAGTTCGAGATGAGTTACTCTTTTTTCCTGCAAAATTTCGAACACTTTCTTTATGAGTGCTGAAATAGTATATTTTGGAAGTTGGAAACTACTCTGCCAATTACATAAGCAAAATGATATGAAAGTATCTTAATTTAATTAATTAAATTAGAGAAAGCCTCTTCCATGTTGTTTACGAAAAGAAAATTTTCACAAGCACACATCCCCTCAATACAAGATGGAGAAATTCTTGAACCTGGTCTGTGGCTGTGCAAACGGATTAATTTTCTGCAGGTAGACATTCTTATTTGGAAAAGAAACAACTGTTGACAAAACAAAGCAGAGAGGGTACCTGTTGTACTGTTGGTATTGTTTGAGGGGATGCGGGTGTTGGTGGCGGTGGTGATGGCGGTGGTGCATCAGCTGTAGTATGATTATAGAAGCGTTCAATCTCAAACCTAAAATTACAGCTAGGCCCAATTACCCTGCCTCCTTGTTTTCTGTCACAGCATTCCGGAATAAATCCAATAGCCTGAGACAAGCAAGAGCTGCATTCAATCTCGGTCAAATCAGGAGTGCATTGAACAAGTGCATATACTGTTTGGAAAGCTGTAACTTCTGCATTTCCTGTTGCAAACTTGCGAAGGGAAGTGCCTGATGAAGCAGTATTTCTTAGGCTATCCAACAAAGTACCGCGGGACTGATTAAAAGCATCCACGTCCGTGACGTTATTTACATTCCACATATAGAAAGAAGGATCGTTTTCAACAACACCAAAGATGGAGCGATTTGTGTAGCGAAACATGCAATTATCATACCAGATAATTGCCTCTTTCTGGTTGGGGCAGAGATTTCTGAGCTCAGCAGTTGCGTTATTGATGCAGCCGATGCAATCACCTGAATTCACATCTCCTCTGCAAAGTGCAATTGAGTTAACTCTGTTTGGGCCTTCGCCAGATGACATATTCTAGAACCCATAATCATTTGCTGTGTTCGAGGAGAAAAATGACAGCACGCGGTTGAGGTTTGTCACGTAAGTGCTGTTTCTGGTGAAATTACCACTAGTGTCTATACAGTAATAGTCTAGAGGCTCTTGTTGGGCAACGGTACGACTAAGAGTAAGAAGGAATGTAATAGTTAAGGAGAAGAAAAACTGGCATATGGAATCCATTGCCCTGCCTGAGACAAGAGGATTATGCTGCTTCTGAGTCTTCAAAGCTTATTAGACCTATGAAATAAAACACCTGATCAGAAAATCAACATCGTCTTATCATGCTTAAAACCTTCACGATTTAGGAATTAATAGATAATGATATCGATTGCATTCCAAACACAACGCTGTAAAGATTTCTTAAAGATGATTAAAAGCAGACTTAATGATTAAAATT